ATATAACAAAATTAAATTCTTAAAAAATTCACATGATTCACTCAAGAGTATTTCAGTAACTTATTTTTCAAGTTTTATTTATGTAAGTCATCTCTACACCCTATGTTGAGCTTGAACTCAGGACCCCAAGATCAAGACTCAGAAACTCTTCAAAAAAAAAAAAAAAAAGACTCAGAAACTCTTCCAAATAAGCCAGCCAGACATCCCGCAGTAATTCTTCTTAATGGAAACATTTAAGAACTATTTAACTGTGCCGTCTCCAAAAAAAGAACTGGCCAAGAAATCAAACTGACTTAATGGAATCTTACTCAGAAATTACATTCTTCATAAAAATATTGGGAGATAGAACTGTTTTTCAGTGGTTACACATATTAAATTAATAACCTCATTAAGCATCTCAGTTGCCAAAATCATTAACACCACCAGGCAGAGAAGGACAAATATCATATGTTTGCACGTATAGGAGGATTAGGAGGAACTTGACGGAGGAACAAGGGGGAGAAGAAGGGCGGAAATGTTGGGGGAAAGGGAGAGAGGCAAACCATGAGAGACTCTTGAATGCTGACAAAAACTGAGGACTGATGGATGTGGGGGGGAGGGGGGGATGGGCATGGAGGAGGGCACTTTGGGGATGAGCACTGAGTGTTATGTAGAAACTAATTTGACTATAAACTATTTGCAAAAAAAAAAAAAAAAGAAAAAAAGAAAACTGGATTTTGGCTGTAGAGCACTAAAAAAAAAAAAAATTACACTAAAAAAAAAATCATTAACACCACAATTTGCCATAGTTACCTTACATTTTGTAAGTTGTGATTTGTAAAGGAAGGAAAATATTGACCCCCTGTGAAACGTGTCCTGATGGAACCTCAGAAATGAAGAGATTTTATCTTTACACATTTCAATCAAGTAAATAAATCAGTAAAGGGTTTTTCTTTCCTCTCTGAAAACCTGAATCAATGGAAACATTCCAGTATACGTGCTGGAAAGTTAACACACTTCAAAGATTCCACAAGTTGTTTATAGATGTGCAAAAACTGCAAGATCAACCTTTCTTTCACCTCAAAGTTGTAGATGTTCTGTTTTTTGGGGGGGGGGGTTCTTATTTTTTGTTTTTTTTTTAAGCCATATCTACACCTAACATAACCTCAGGGTCATGAGGCTCAAACTCATGACCCTGAGATCAGGAGTCACATGCTCTACAGACTGAGCAGGCCGGGCACCCCTCAAAGTTGTAGGTGTTGAATCAATGATTTTCTTTCTTAAGTTTCGTACCACTGGTTTTCCAGACACTATATCCTCAGCAGGAAATAAGCAGTCTTCCATACAACCAATTTTAAAAATCCTCACCCTCTGCCTTTCACTGGGGCTTTAACCTCCTTCCCCCCCATGTGGTGCTGTTCTGGGCTTTGCTTACTTCTGTCGCTTCACCAAATGGTCCGTATCCTGGTAATCTTTTCACATTGATCAATTTCCAACCAAGTATATACACTTCAAGCAATTACAAATTACAAATGCGGAACGGGCTGTGGCTCCCCAAAACTGGCATCAAATGGAGACTTCTCATCCTGAGCAAGGTTACCCCTCAGTAACTTCCGAAGCCCTGAGAAGTGCCATCTCGAAGGGCAGTGCTAGGCACGGAGTGATCACGGAAGATCAGCCGGCTGCTTCAGGCCGGCCTCCCGCTCGCTTCCGCAGCCACACCCACCAGGCTCCCAGGCCGGTGCTGGTCGGTTCCTGCAGTCCTTCTACCGCCTTTAAGTCCCTTCCGTTCTCCCGTTGTTAATCTTTCCATCACAATTTTCTTCCTGAACCTTCTCTAAAATCTGCCCACGTCCTCCAGCCCCTCCAGCAGTGTCCGCTGGTGCCAACGCCGCTTTCTTCCGCACCTGACCCTCCAGGAGAACACGGCCAAGCCTGGCTCAGGACCAAAGTGTGTACTGTCTTCACCTCGGCACAGGTCAGTGTTCGTATAAACCTTACGTAGCGCCTGAAAAGTTTAAGGATTCTTCAGGTTGAGATCACGCAGAGAGAGGCAAGGAAGCTGCAGGTGCTTATGGAAGGGGTACTGAGATGCTTTGGCATGGAATCCAAGCTAGACACGTAGGGAAGTGCAGATGGAAAGTACTGGAGAGACACTGGTAACAGATGGAAAAACTGCTACAAAGGTTTGGTGTGAGGCTCACACAGATCAGTAAAAACAGCCACTAATATCCAACATCCCTGAGGTACAGTTCCCAACTACTTAACAGGCCAGACACTTTACTGAACTAGTCACAGAACTGTAAAGGGAGGGGCAGGGGAAAAATTTAAAAAAAAAAAAAAAAAGAATTGTAAAGAGGAAAAAAATTTCTTCACTCTAAAAATTACCTACTATAATCAATGTTAAAATAATCGTTTTACCTAAATACAAACAAAAACAAAAGCCTGAAATTCCGAAAGAAAATTATTTTCTTCAAAATAGACATATTAACCCATTATTAAAGGGCAGACCACATTAACAAGGCTTACGGGTGAAAAATTCCTACTTCTTCAAGCATGGCGCCTGAACTCATGACCCTGAGATTAATTAAGAGTTGCTCTCTCCACCAGATGAGCCAGCCACACGCCCCAATCCTACTGGGTTTTGAAAACATTATTTTCTGGGCGCCTGGGTGACTTAGTCGGTTAGGCGTCAGACTTCAGCTCAGGTCATGATTTCACGGTTTGTGGGTCCAATCCCCCCGTCGGGCTCTGTGCTCATAGTTCAGAGCCTGGACCTTCTTGAGATTGTGTCTCCGCCTCTCTCTGCCCCTCCCCCACTTGTGCTCTGACTCTCACTGTCTCTCAAGAAATAAATAAAATGTAAAAAAAGAAAAAAAAGGAAAGAAAAAAAACATTATCTTCAAGGAAGTATGAATAATTCTCTCCAAAATTCCAACCTCCCTGTCCCACCATTCAGATACATAAATTTAATATAAACTCTCCCCTTGTCACGTGCTGCTACCTGTGTATTAACTCAATTTACAAACCATTACTCACAACTGCATATCCAGTGGGGCTTTTAAACTCTTTCAGCAAGAAAAAACATTTTAGTTAAATTCACGAATGCGAATTATATGCAAAAGAAAGGTTAAAAAATGTCATCTGTATGTGGCACTTAAAAGTATAAAATGTGAGGGGTCTGGGTGGCTCAGTTAGTTAAGTGTCCGGGCTCTTGATTTCATCTCAGGTCACGATCCCAAGGTCGTGGGATCCAGCCTGGTATCAGGCTCACGCTGGGTGTGGAATCTGCTTAAGACTCTTTCTCTCCCTCTCTCTCTCTCTTTCTCTCTCTCTCTCTCTCTCTCCCCCTTTTCCTCTCTCTCCCCCCTCCCTTTGCCCCCTACACTGCTTGTGAGCGCGCTCTCTCCAGAAAAACAATAATAAAGTAAAATGGGCATGTCTTTTAGAAAAAACAAAAACAAGAAAGAAGTGTAAAACCTGAGTGAATTTCCACAAGAAGCTCAATAAAGCTCCTGGCATCTTAGGGTTCAAGGCCTGTGCCCTGCATTCCTGGCGGCGCAAACCCCAAACCCAGCTGCGGAGCAGGATCTTCGGGGAGAGGAAACCCCAGAACCGTCCGCAACCTGCCGGAACTGCTCTGCCTTTCACCTAGATGAAGGCTCGGAACACACGCTTTGGCTTCTGTGAGTGACACTGAACTGGGAGCCATCACTGACCAAGGCTTTCGGCAGCACGCGCACAAGGGGACAGGCCGCCGGAGCTGCCCGCGGCCAAGTGCCAGGAGAGGCGGACACAGGAGGGAGCGCAGTGTCGGGGGCCCCGCGGGAACGCGGGGCACACGTACCACAGCGTGACCTCCTCAATAACAAAACGAGGCGAGGAATGTCGCAGAGCGGGTGTGACACGCGGCCGGGGGCCCCTACCCCCGCGTCCTTGGGCACTATGCCCCTCGGCCAGACCCCATCTAGGCACCGCGTTCGTGCTGCGCTACGAATCCGGACGCAGCACTTGCTCGCGACGGACCCTGGGCCAGCGAGGGGGCGTGCGGAGGGCGGCGGGCGGGGGGCTCTGGAGGGGGCGGACCCCCTCGACGGCGCTATATTCCCGGACACTCCAAAGGTCACAACCTAGAGGCCACCGTGCTGCACTGGCGGGGCCCGCTCGAACCGGAATAAAGGAAACGTCCCAACAAGCCGCTCTCCAAGGACGGGTCGGCTTCCACTGACGAGACCGGACCCCCGGGCCTCTCGGCTCCTGCCGACGGCGGCGCCGTGGGGACTAGGGAGATGGGGTGGACCGAGAGGGGCCCGTCCCTGGGACTGACGGGCCTCAGTCCTCGCCCCGCGACAGGGCACGCGGGCCCGGGGAGGAGGACAAGGGGACGCGGGGGGGCAAGGCCTCACCCGCACGCCCTCAACCCCGCTCGGAGGCCGCGGCCCGCCTGCACCGGGGCCGCCCGTCTCGGGCAGAAAATGACCTCCGGGCACTCACCTGTCCCGCCGCCGCCGAGCCCGCCGACCCCCAATGCCAGCTGGGTGCTGCGCTGCCGCCCGTCCGTTCCCAACCACACGGCGCCCGCGACAGACTGGGAGATGCCGGACACCAAGTCTCCGCCCTGACACAGCCCCACGACCCGGCACCCTGACGCCCCGCACTTCCGGCACCGCCGGAAGCTCCTGCCTCGCCTCGAGCCCAGGCCGCCGGAAGTCCCGCCAGGGCCTCCGCCCTGCGCCGGAAGTCCTGTCCGCGGCCGGCGCCTCGGCCGGGGCCGCCGGAAGTCCCGCCCCTCCCCGCATTCGCGCCGGAAGTCTCGCGGCCGCCCTCGCGGCCGGGGTCCGGGCGCTCGGGTGTCCCGGGGTAGGGGCCACCGGGTGGCGCGGCTCGGGCCCCGAGACTGCGCGTCCGGGCGCGGGGGGGGGGGGGCGGCCGGCGCTCGACTGGCGGCGCGGCACGAGGCTGCGAGCCGCGTCCGGGGAGGCGCGGGCAGGGTGGACAGCGGCGCGGCCCACGGTACTCACGGCGGCGGGCTCCAGCGGGGGTCCCGGGCCCCCACGGGTTCGCGTCCATCGGCTCGGGCCGTGGGGGCGCTCACGGCCGTTCAGCCCCGCGTGCTCCCCGCAGCCGCACGGCTCCTCGCGCGGCCCTTCCCCGCGCGGCCGAGGCGGAGGCTGCTGGTCCGCGCGGGCGCCCGGTGGAGGTAGAACTATTAATATTTCAGCTCATCTGCAGAGGATGACTCATCCGCTTTCCTTTCTGAAATATTTGTTCGCCATTGGCTAAAAAGAAAAAACAAAATCAGCTGCTCACTGCAAAAGGTGGGACTTTGTCGTCTTTGATCTAGGCTGAAAAAGGGACAGAAAGGACTGGAGGCCTTACGTGGGTGGCCATCTGCTCTACAGACAGCTCTACCCGGGCGCTGGAAGCTCTCCCGGAGAAAATCCAAAGCATTAAAACGTTTTCCTTATTTATGGGTCAACATTCTTGCTCCTTCCTTTAAAAACATGAAAGCTCACCATTCAAATTCTAGAAGCCCTGATGAGAAGGTTGCCCCAGAAACAAATTTAACAGTAACCGCAAAGCATGTAGAATAAATCCTGAAGTTATTTACGCATTAAGTGTAGCAGAAGCTCAGCACTAAGAAACAATTCTGTAAGATAAACCAAGGGTTTCAAACTTTTGGAGGTTATGGCAAACATTCCACAGGAGGAGAGATTTTCCTCTAGCCCGCAGGGTTCTTGTGGCTGGTCAAAGAATTAAATTGACATGAGACAGATTAGCAGGAAGATACAAACTTCAATTAATAATGATATATTACATTCACGGGGAATTCACGTAAACATGAGAGATTCTAAACAGGCAAAAATAGGTTCATATGTCATCCTGAACCAAGGAGAAGGGGGTCGAGGTCTGGGACTTGGCAGGGAAGGAAGCTATATTTGCTGAGCCAGCCAGAAACCGTGGGACAGAGAGTACTTCTATCAAACAGACCTTGCTGGTGTCCTCCCTGCCCACCATACCTATGGTTTGTGTGTGATAGCTTCCTTCCGGGAATAGGTCTTCTGTCTTAAACCTTCTAGGCAGTTTGGAAGAAGGGAGAAGCTGTCAAGTTTCTGAGTCTTTTGATCTTTGCTTGTTTACAGCTCAAAACAATCTTCGTGCCTAAGTGGCACATCTTGCCGGGCGGGGGGGGGGGCGGGGGACAAATTTTGGTTCCGTAAGTAGTCAGATAATTTTATTTAGCACCTAATATGCACAAGGCATTCTCCTGGGCATAGGAGCAGATAGAAAAGCTTTATGAACAATACCACCTCCAGGAAACTCACATGCTAATATGTGGTTTTACTTTGCACGGCATCTAGTTTGGATGAAGCTTAGGATTTTGTTAATTGAGGTAATTTTTTTTCTGTGATATATTTAGGATTCCATAAAAGTCACTATATCTAAATGAGTACATTAATGAGGTGTCACAAAACTAACAATGGAAAGGAATCAACACTTTGGCCCTACTGTGCCTCAGGCACTTCACATATTTGATAATTTATTTAATCCTCAAAACAGTAAAATAAAAATTATTCTAGCTTGAATTCTAAGTAAGCATGAAATTGTTAAAATTACTTGTCAGAGGTCAAAAAGCTGGTATTTGGTGGAACAAAGATTAAAAGCCAGGTCCACATGAGAGCTCATATCTCTACCATATATTCCTCTGATGAGGCTGCTGTACCAAATTACCACAAACTAGGTGGCTTAAACAATAGAAATGTATTGTCTCCGGTCTGGAGGCTCCAAGTCCAAGATCATGGTGTCGTCAGGGTGGTTTCCTTCTGAGAGCTGGGAGATGAAATCTATTCATGCCTCTCTCCTAGCTTCTGGTGGTTTGCCAGCAATCTGGTGTCCCTTAGCCTGTGGCAGCCGTCACCGCGGTCCTCACCTGGCATTCTCCCTGTGGAGGATCTGTCTCCTCAATGGGCGTTCTTTCTATAATGTCATTATTAAGGGCCCCTCCTCACCACTATGACTTCACCTTAATGAATTGCATTTTTAACAATGTTTTTTCCAAATAAGATCACTTTCTGTGGTTCTGGGAGTTAGAACTTCAACATAATGCATTTGGGGATTTGGGATACAATCGACCCGTAACACACTGCCTCCTGAAATAACTCTGCATGTGATTAAAAAGGAACAAAGCCAGCCAGCCTAAATTGCAAAAGGTTGTGTCTACAATCCCGTTATCTAATTACCCACTCCTGGAGAAGCTGTAGAAAGTACCCTTCCCATAAACCAAGTCTCTGTCTTGCCCCAAGCCCATCCATGCAAGGTGCACATGATTTACCCCCATCACGAGAGAGCTGAAAAGGGGCACCTGGGTAGCTCCATCACTTAAGCTCAGGTCTTGATCTCAGGGTCATGAGTCCAAGCTCAGTGTTAGGCTCTGTGTGCTGAGTGTGAAGCTAAAGAACAGTTGGATGAAATTTGTTGGGTATTAGGCCATGTATTTAATCCCAGATTATTTTATCTGTGCCTCAAATGCCTAGGTGTTTATACTATAGGGTTATGAGCTAGTTGAGTAATGTTACTTCGTAATCATTACCAAATTGTTTCCTATATGTGTTATATGTGATATATATAATAAGGTTTTTCTTGAGGAACACCATATTTAGCACTTCATTCAGATTTCTGCTCAAACATCACTACCCTGGAGATGTTTTCTTTTCTTTTCTTTTTTTTTAATATTTTTTATTTATTTCTAGGAGAGAGAGAGAGAGACAGCGTGAGCAGGAGAGGGTCAGAGAGAGAGGGAGACACAGATTCCGAAACAGGCTCCAGGCTCTGAGCTGGCAGTCAGCACAGAGCCCGACGCGGGGCTCGAACCCACGGACCGTGAGATCATGACCTAAGCGAAAGTCGGACGCTTAACCGACTAAGCCACCCAGGCGCCCCTGGAGATGTTTTCTTTATCATTTATTTTTAGATAGTTACATGTCCATCCCTTAACGGTACTTTATTTTTCTTCATGGTACTTACCTCCTCTTGACATTGTTTGTTTGTTTACTGTTTTTCCTACTTGAATGTAAATCCTAAAAGCCACTTTTTTCTATCTTGTTCACTGTTACAATCCCATGACTTGGAAAAATGTTTGGCACATAGTATGCGCGCGCGCACACACACACACACACACACACACACACACACTCACTCGCAAAGTTTGCCAAAGGGTATTTTCTTAAATATATAGACTCCTGAATGGCAAAGGTCAATTTGCCATTGATAGGTCAATTGCCAAAAGGTCAATTCCTTTCATCTATCAGATGCATGCAGTTCTGTACAAGAAAAAGGAGAAAAACATCAGCTGGAATGTGAATATAATCCCCTGAACAACTACTCAGTCCCTTTCTCCTACCCATACCTGCCCTCACTAGGAGAAGAGGAAAGTGAATTCACAGCTTCATGGACCAAATGGTCCAGTCCACACAATGGACCTTCACCAGTACTGACTTGCTGTACTTCATCCATGACACCCTAAACAGGTACTGACCTGTTTCTCAATTCAGAACCTTGCAGTCTGTATTAGTTCTCACCCAGGACACACTTGCCATTGTTTCTCTACCGAATTTTTCAGTAGAGCTTGTTACCTTGCACACTGTCCATGTGCTAAAAGAAAAGGAACGCCTGTTCTAATCTCACAGTGACTGTATTTTTGGTCTTCAAGCTGTTTTTAGAAAAGTTTGTCAAGAAAAGTTTTCTCAAGCTTTTTGTTTTTTGGGTTTTTAAAAAATTTTTATGTAATTGCTACACCCGATGTGGGGCTTGAACTTAGCACCCCAAGATCATAGTCCACCCACTGACTGAGTCAGCCAACCACCCAGTTCTCATGGTTTTGAATAAAACAAATCTGCATTGTTCTCATCACGAAACCCAGATTCTTACAAAATGGGGGAATTATTTGGAGTAAAAAATGTTAGGAAACTCTACTTAATGAACAACCAAACATGTACTGTAAACTTGTTCCAAATGAGGTTAGAAAACTATACCTCTGTTGATCAAAGGTGCATATAAATGAGCAAATCTTGTGAGTAGCTCTGTACCAGTCTCTAAGTCATATAGATGATATCCTTTTTTTTTCTTTCTCAATACTACATAATTTGCAACCCAAGAACATTCACATTATTAAAAATAGCAGTGCCCAGCCATTGACTGAGGCATTGTTATTTATATTTTCAGGAAGAGGGGCTCTAATATATTTAGCAAACAGCCCTGAGCTCTTTTTTTGTTAATATTAACGATGTAAAGGGGCGCCTGGGTGGCTTAGTCAGTTGAGCATCTGACTTCGGCTAAGGTCATGATCTTACGGTTCGTGAGTTCAAGCCCCCGCATCGGGCTCTGTGTTGAACATTTGCTCAGAGCCTGGAGCCTGCTTCGGATTCTGCGTCTCCTTATCTCTCTGCCCTTCCTCCACTCATTCTCTGTCTCTCAAAAATAAATAAATGTAAAAAAAAACTTTTAAAAAATATTAACAATGTAAGGAACCCAATACTTAAACAGCTCTACAGTGAACTCTACTAAAAAGCAGAACTATATGATCTTAATAAATAGGCCTAAACATTTACAATGAACTATGGGCTCCCTTTGCTGTATATTGTACAACAGCTCTTTGTGTCTATTAAGTTTATATATAAAGATTTCCTGACAGGGACATCATTGTCCCCAGTCTGATGTCATTATTTTGCGTAACTTGGCATCTTCAAAGTTAGAGTGGTGAAATGCAAATACTGTGCCATGTTAGTAAATCTGGCAAGTTTGGTCACATCATTCATCATGTTATAAAAAGGGAACCAAAAAAAAAGTACATAATCTCTGAACTTCAGTTTCTTCATATAAGTAGGGATAACACCATGTAGAATTTCTGTAAGGATAAAGTGAAGTACTAAAGGTAAAAAGCACACAGCAGAGTATCTAATGCAAATCTCAACTAGAAGGGAACATAAAGACTATCTAGCCTTCAATCATAGATAAAGGTGAGAAGGCCAGAGATTCTAGTGCAGTATTACTGAGCAAGTAATAGAACCTGGGTAGGGACTGAAGTCTTCTGAGATCAGGGGGCTTTCCAATGCACCAGCAGTTCTCATTCGGTGGGCCACGGACCCCCGTGGCTCCCCAAACCCTCCAGGCTCCATTAGGACACCAGGCACTTCAGCCTAGTACTAGGATGTGACTTGCC